CTCGGCGGGTGACAGGCCTCAGGCCCTTCTCCAGGGAGCAAGGGCAGTGCAGAGGGATTTCTGTCCCCATGAGGACGGTTGCAGGGCAGGGTCACCAGCTCTAAACCGTCTTTCTGCACCTGAGCGTGGGCAGGCGTCAGTGCCGTCCCCTGAGAGCGTCCCAGCTGGGACAGAGAGGGCGTCCTCCATGACAGGGGCCAGGAAAAGCTCTGCTCCTCAGCCTCACCTGGCTCCCTGCTGGAAGGAAGGATGGGAGTCCCGCTGCAACCTCCCCCCTGGGCCTGGCACTCTTGCTGTATCCCGGCCATTGCTGCCCAGGTGACCCTGCTGGGAGAAAGGCTGCAGATGAGACATTTCGACCAGCTCCATCAGTGTATCAGGTCATGCAGCTGAGCTATCAGAGCTGCCATCTAGCCCCACAGCTTCTCTGTAGCCTCTGCAGCGGGAATCCCAGTAGGCAGAGGGAAAACAGGCTTAGTGATGGCAGCCATCCATCGCTTCCATGATCCAGGCGTTAGGAAGCTCCCAGCCTCCCCAGCGAGCCTGCACACCCAGCTAAATAGTCCTAGGGAGCTGTTAACACCCATGTCCTCCTGTCCCTTGCTTTCCCCTGTGCACCCCTGCCCCTCTCCACTCTCCCAGCATCCCTTCCCGGATCCAGCTCTGCTGCAGGGCGATGCCAACCTTAAGGTGGACAATGTTGTCCAGCTTGCAGAGTGGCGGGGACAAGGGACATTTCGGAGAGGACTTTGGTCCACGTCCCAGTGGCAAAGCTGTCATCCCACCCCCGTGCTGGGAAAACGCTTGCTCACGCAGCTGCAGCTCAGCCCCAGCCCTTCCCAGCCGGGCTACACCCACGTCATTCCTCACGGACCCCGGGACGGAGTCCCACCCAGACACCGGAGCACAACAGTCTCCAGGGATCCCCCTGACCTGTGCCCCGAGGGCGGCCCACCCCTCAGCATCACAAGGACCAGGCAGGGGCAGGGACCGGCTTTTCCTCTCTGCTCCCCGCCTTGGTCACGGGGCAGAGCCACCACAGTGACCCGCACGGGCTGCCCTGTTGCAGGGCGACTCTCCCCCTGCTTGGGAGACTTCCCTGCTCATTGCTCCTGCTCCTGCCAGAGCTGCTGGGATGCACAGTCTCTGGGCTGCCTGTCCCAGCGCTTCCCAGAGGTCTTTCCCCATTACCTGGAGTCTCTGGAGTTGGTTTCAGCAGGGCCCGGGGCTGCCCTGGGAGGCTGGTGCCAGCCAGTCCCCCTGGCCTGGGCACCGGGGGGTGCAATGCAGGCCTCTGCCCAGCGCAGACCCTGCTGGGGGAGCAGCTGCTGCCCAGCCCAGTGGAGGCAGCAGCTTCAACAGCAGCATCTGACCCAGGAAGCTCAACTCTGGTACATGAGCAAAAGGGAAACCAGAGCAGCCAGCTCCCCTATAGCAACCACCAGAGCCCCCTGCCGGGGAGAAGCTCCTTAAACCGGCCTGTCCTTGTGTTAAAGGCTGGTGTGTGGGCGGGGGGGGCTTTCTTTTAATGCAGCCATTAATCAACTAAATTAGAGGGGGATTGTTCCATGAAGCTGCGCTGAGAAGCCTGATTCCCTCCCTCCCTCCCTCATCTACACAGAAGTTCAGTCTAGCTTCCCTTTTTGTAGCCTAGGTTGGCTGGTCCTCTGTCAGACACGTTCCCGGGGTAGATAGAGGATCCCCAGCTGAAGACAGGCAGGGTTGCCAACCCTCCAGGACTGTCCTGGAGTCTCCAGGAGTCAGATATAACTCTCCAGGAGACTGCTGAGAGTCACCAGGAGAGAAATGATAGGCATTCATTTAAATAAATCTGAAATGTTGAAGCTGATTTATACAGTAATTCAGTGGGTTTTTCATATATAATAGTAATGTGCATTTGCCTTCCTGACCTAACTGATACCAGTAACTGATATACTCAAGCATGCGGGCATATTTATGTTGTGTGGCATTACATCGTGATGAAACCTCCTGGAACAGATTCAAACAGAGTGGGCAACCCCAGTATTGCCAATCCCACCATGTCGAAAAGCATGAGACAAAATCTAAAAAATCAAGAGATTTGGACCGTAAATCACGATATGCTATTTTTGAAGCATGTGTGCGCGGTTCCCAGGCCAAAGGCAGTAGGGTGCAGAGCCCCAGCCTGCAGCAGGCAGCCCACCTCTGCCCCTTGCATAAATCTGGGTGGGGCACGTACCCCCATGCCTCCCCTGGTCCCAGGGCCCCATTCACCCCAGCCCCTGCCCCACTCCCTCCCTCACTGTGGGGGCCTCGATCTGTCCCCCTACCTGCCCCTTCCCTTTCCCTCCCCCTGCCCACCCCTTCCCCTTCACAGACTTACCAGCTTGGCACTCTCTACATGTGCCAGAAGAAAAAATCCTGAGATTTGATCTATCATGAGATCATGAGTCAGAGTTAATTTGACTTGGAAGTCAGGAGCCTCGTGATTTTTTCATGAGACTTGGCATTACTGCAACCCTAAAGACAGGGTCTGTCCTGGATGGCGAAAACCCCGGCAGGGGAATGACTCTCAACGCTTTTGTTAGAAATTGGAGAAGGAGCAGCCAGATCCCAGCGCTATGCTCTGAATTGAGGCAATGAAAGGGATCTGGCCAGGATCTTTCCTCCCTTTCCTGAAAAGGAACTGAGAACACCAGAGCAAATAAGCCAAAAACAAGCATGCCTGATGTGCAGCATTGCCAAGGGGTGTATAAGTCCTGCTAAATCACAGTCTTTCCTGAAAGTCTTGGGTGAAGTAGATGGGAAGCGTGACAGCTATCTGAGCTTGAGAGGTGCCAATTTTTTCACCAAAACAGCTCTCTCTCCTAATATTCATTGGGGATCGTATCAACAAAACCTGCAAAGTGCTTCCGAAACCTTAGTTACTCTCTCAGTTAATCAGGTAGCCCTTATTAACTCCTACGTAGCCGGCTTAGTTACTCTGTTGCTCTGGCACAAAGGAGATTTCCACAAGGGTAAAGTCCATCTATGCCAGAGACAAATCTTTCCTGGGTGCCCACGCATTACAAACCTCTGCACATTTTGCCCCACATGCAACGTGCGCTGCTTTATCTTTCTTAGTATGAGTATGCAGGTATACATATAGTGGAGGGGATGCGTGTGCGAGTGCATGCAAATCACCAAAGCAAAACAGTACCCTCATCCAAAGAGAAATAGAGATAAGGTCACTCAACTCTTAACTGGAAGGCACTTGAATATGATGGTGGTAGAATTGGTGCCTGTATGAACTAGAAACAGCTCACCAGCTAACCATAACCAGCAAGACCTGAATGTATAATAATGTGCTCAGCTTTTATGGTAATCGGTGAGAGCTTCTACTAAAATAATGAAATCCTTTTATTATGCAATCGTTTACCTCAAATTTTCCCTGAGGAACTCTTTTTCTAAGGTGCCTATATCTGTGCTGAGGGCATGCATCATTTTCCAAGAGGTACTCATGTTTAGGGGATCTTTATGGTATGGATGATACCTAATAGACAGAAGATCCCAGGACAGAGGGGAAAGATGATGTGGGGAAGGCACAACATGAAGATGCAGATCTGTATTATGGTCTGAGCTGTTAAATATTCCTTGTGTGACCTTGGACAAACTATTTAATCTTCTTGTTCTGCTGTCTGTCTGTGTACTTAGATGTAAACTCCCTAAATTAGGGAGTCTTTCTCTCTAGCTGCAGATCCAACCTATGGGAATACAAACAGAAATAGAATATTAGACAATTTTCACAAGTAAGAAATAATTGAGAGCCTATTGCTGATGATGTAGTGACTTTTTGAGTCTTTCAATCTAGTATCTCTGCCATGTGGGCTCCCAACTATGATCTATCCAGTCCGGCACCCTTTGAGAGAGCAAAGAAGGTGCAAGACTCCTCATCATATCTGAGCTTCCTCTGCTTCTTCCTCTCCAAGATAATGGTGATGCAATAAATGGTAACCAGGCTGAGTTTACCGGACATAACTTAGGGTTCAATGTCACTTTATCTGCCTTACTCATGTTTTTTTCTTAAATTTAGAAACTCCATAAAAAACACTGTGAGATTCATTGCCACTCTGGTTTCTATTTTTCATCATCCCAACATGCATGTTCAATGGCAAGAGGAAAACAAACCAAGATATTTTGAGATGCAGGATGAGCTAAATGCCTATCCTTAGAATACAGCTTCTTGGATGGAGTTGTAGGAGTGTCTCTAAAGGCACAACTAACCTTTACATTTCAAGTGTTGCTGCAACTCTTTCTTCAGGGACACATGCTCTGTCCCTCCCTGTAACACTCCTCCCCAATTCCCATATCACTTCCATAGTCACCTATTTCTGAAACAGGAGTATCTGGTTCCTAAATGCACTCTAGCGAACTTCGCACCAGTTGCAGCAATTCATTTGGTGTTGGCAGCTACCCTAAGGCTTGTGCACAAGTCCAAGAGGCTCTCACCCACTTTCTCCTGATAAAGCTAGATACCATCAGACAACCTGGCAGAGCCAAAGAGCATGGAAGCTTTGCTGATTGATGCAGAGATAATGTCACTCGAGAGCCAGAACCTGCACAAAATATCCAGGAAGAAAGTAAATGGGGTTGGGGCTGACAGACAGACTAGGGAAACGTGTTCAATTTTTGGCTCTGCCAGACTTCCCAGAGTCTCTGGGGATGTCATCTGGGACAGCTTTTCGGAAGTGATTTGCAATGTGACTTTAAAAAATGTAAATTGAGCCATAACCTCTCTGTGCATTGATCCCCCTTGTATAAATTTGAGATGACCTTTAATTTCTCCTTTTATGGCCATTTTCTGTAAGCTTTACACTGTAAGCTGTGCTGTTCACACTGTAAGTTTCTCAAGGTTTTTCCCTTATGTCCATCTAGCACAATGGGATCTTGATCTCAGTTGCAGCTTCCTAGCTTCTATTATGATACAATTAACATGACAATTGACTCCTAATAACTGGCAGGCTTTTCCACTGTTGCTCCGGGGGGGCTGTTGCTGATTCTCTGATCAAAAGAGCTATACCAACCTCATGTGAGGGAGCAATTGAATAGAGGAATGGTGAGTGGAGTTACCGTGCTGGCTGCACCTCTTGGGAATGAAGTAAATAAATGCTTCATAGAACCCACCCCCGCACCCTCCAACACCGCACCCCCCACCATCGCCTATTAGAGCTGAAGCCAAAGAATGCAACTTAACCTTCTGCATTATGCAAAATAATTCTTTATTGAGGATTTTGCCAAAACCTGGAAGCTGAAAGCTGCAAATCTGGGGCTTTGCAGTGTGCAAGCAACAACAGAGCCCCCTCCTTAGAGTGAGTCAACCTCAGAGTCTCTCTTGAGAGGCCCCCAATAAAGAGGTCAAATCCAGAAATACTCTTTGTCTGGAGAAACACTCCTGCTTGCTCACTGAGAGTCTGTGCTCTAATTCCTACTTTGGGAAGCTATTTGTTAATGACAGAATCATAGAGAAGTAGGGCTTGAAGGGACTTTAGGAAGTCACATCCAGTCCAACTTCCTGCTCAAGGCAGGATCATTCCTATCTAAACTGTCCTATATAAGTGCTTAGGCTGTGTCAGTTTTCCCTCTCCAAGGGCTGCTCCTTCCCCAACATACTCAGTGCCTTCAACAGGGCTTTAAAACTTCCACTACAGCCACCAAATCAAACCTGCAATTCAGCATCATAACCTCTACCCCTCTGCTAGTGCCTTATTCTCCTTTCTCAGGAGAGTCCTGTCCTGTTCTGCTGGTGAGAATTAGATGGAAGGGGAAGGGTGTCCTGACAAAATCCTCCCAGCCCCTGAGCAGAGTCAGGCTTGGATCCCATTGGTGTGGCCCATTACTCAGCAGAAGCTACAATGGGAGGCACAGGCCCTTCTGCCTTCTCTGTTTCACATTGTCCCAGCAAGGTGACACCCTCAGTACGGCTCAATACAGGAATGTCCAACTGTTCTGTGCTGAGAGGACACGATGCATCTGGGTTCTCCAGGGCTGCTGTTCCTGAAGCAAAGGTGGGGAGTGGAGATGGTGGATCTTGGTGACCAGACACTGATGCTTCTGTCACAGGCTGGGGAGGACCAGTGGCTGCCTCAGGGTGGCTCTTGCTTTTGTGTGCAGTAACGTTGTCCTTCTTCTCAAACTTTTTGCCACAGATGTCACAGGAGAACTGGTAGAAGGAGTCAGCATCATGCTTCTTCATGTGCCAGTTCAGGGAGGCCTTCTGGCGGCAGGTGAAGCCACAGATCTCACACCTGGAGGGACAAAAGATCAGCAGGAGTGCACAGCAAAAGAAAGGCCGGACAGGAATGTCCAACGTAGGCTGTGTAGTGTGTGTAGTCTACAGAACAGCAGCACAGAGTGCAGCCATGCCAAGC